CCCTTTAAACCCTTATCCTTCCTCATGAGATACTGTTTCCCCTCTACTGTCCCAGAGATCCAGGTATGTGGTATTTCCAGAGGAAGCATTAACTGATAATGACTGTCTTCCCTATTTAGTTTTCACTGGACCTTTTGTTCTCAAATGAAATGCAGCAGCACATGAACTTACATCTTCAATTTTAAACTGGAATGAAACTGCTTATCATACATGCATCTTCTTCAAATAGACTGACTTGGATCAAATTATCAACACCGAGCCTGAATTGTGAAGTTTTTTCAGGCAGAGGAAAGAGCTGTGGGGTGGTTTTGCTTTCCATTAATATGAGGATAGAGCTAATAGGCAAAAAAAAAATAAAATTGCAGATTCAAGATCTGTGTGTGCCAGATGCTGATAGCTATACATAGCCCCTCAAAGGAGAGTGACTGCAGAGAGTATCTTCCCCAGGCAAACAGGAATTTGCCTAAGAACACTGCCAAAAAAAAAAAAAAAAAAAAGCAACTCCAAACTCAACCTTTAATCTATGGTGCATTACTTCAGCTGCAGAAGTTGTGTAAGTGCTCCGTGAAGTGAATAAGAAAGAGTATGTCCTCATGATGACCTTGCCTACATTTCACATGTGTTTCCAAATTTAACAAAAGCAAATTTTCCTTTTTACCATTACACTCAGAGTCATTCTTGAATACAACCTCTTTGCTCCATAACCCTTAAGAGAAGTAAGCAAAGGACAATAGATGAGGCTTCTTCAATGTAATAAAAAGGCAGCATGCAGCCTGTGAGATGAAATTCAAAAACAGAACTTGGATATAAAGAACATGATTTTCCACCCTAGGTTTTTCTTATTGTTTCACTCAAGAACATTTTAAAAAAGAGAGGCACTTGATTTCCCTGCCTCTTTTCCTCTATACCCTGCTATCAAATTTTTCTTCCCTTTTATCCAATACAGTGGGTTTTTACGTACAGCAATATAATTTCTAAGTAGTTCAAAATGTGAAATACTTGTACTTGAGATGACAAGCTATAATCTCTACAGAGCAGTATGATAATTTTGGAATGACCAGGAAGTTTGGTATGGATTCTAATTAACACTGATGAACCTGGCTACTAAAGATTAAATTCCCAAATGAGTAAATGCTACCTTTCTACACACAGGTCTATCCAAATTATTCTCATTAAAACAATTAAAAAAATTTATAAGCTTCAGTCTGTGTCAAGGTATTGAAGGTTTTCCAAAACTGATTAAAAATATAAAATGAGTTATTGAACTGCATTAAAAATCAACCTTTTTCATCTATTGAAAAGTAATGGTCTGTAATTTGTGTTCAGGAGATTTTATTTCCAGTGAATAATAATTGTACTGCAGCCAACTCTGTGCCCTGTTTCTCTGAAAACCTCATGGGATGTACAGGAGAGGGTTTTGTGTCCTGCTGATGACACACTCACACACTTTGTGTTCTCCAGTCCTTACAGAGAAGCTTAAGTTTGTTTCATTATGTGTTTATTTTTCCACTGATGGTTCTTTCAAACTGGTAAACACAAATGGAAGTGCACAGGTATCATAAAATGGTTTGGGTTTGAAGGGACGTTAAAGATAATCTAACTTCAGACCCAGTACTGTGGGCTGAGACACCTTCCACTAGACTGCATTGCTCAAAGCCCCATCCAACCTGGGCTTGAACACTTCCAGAGGTGGGACATCCACAGCTTCTCTGGGCAGCCTTTTCTAGTGTTTCACCACCCTCAGAGTAAAGAATTTCTTCCTGAGATCTAATCTAAATCCACCCTCTTTCAGCTTCAAGTCATCACCTCTTGTTCGATCACTACATGCCCTTGTAAAAAGTCCCAAAGTCCCTTCCCAGCTTTCTTGCAGGCTCCCTTTAGGTCCTGGTGCCCTAAGGTCTCACTGGACCTTTCTTCTTTCTTCCCTTTCTCCAGGCAAAACAACCCTGAACTCTCCCAGCCTGTCTTCATATGAGAGGTGCTCCAGCCCTGCGATCAGCTCAGCACACACCCTCTGGACTTGCTCCAGCAGATCCACATCCTTCTTGGGTTGGGGGCCCCAGAACTTGTGTTAGATAAACTGATAAGACTCTGGTAAGGAGAAATACCAACTCCTGAGTAAGGGGAGGGATAATCTCAGCAACAACACAGACTGGGTTCTAATTGGCAGGACATGAGCTCTGCAGTGAAGGACCTGGGAGTTCTGGTGGACAGCAAACTGACCAGGAGCCAGGAAGACCTCACAGTGCTGCCTACACGAACCCTAGAGCACAGTGCCTGCCCTACCTAGCCCATCTCAGCCATGCATCTTTTGTTTTAGCAGACAGGTTCATTTCACTACCAGCCCTTGATGCCCTATCTCAAGCCCTCTGCCCCTCTCCTTCTTTCCTGGCTGCTCTTAAGCAGCTTTCTGCCATTCTCATTTCTGTTTCCATGTAGCTTCCAGGCACTCCTGTAGCCTACTTGTCAGCCTGCTTTCCCTCACAATCATCCTGTATGACACCTCTACGCTTCCCACAGCCACTTGGGATACCAGGTCTGTCCTGGCCAACACCTTTAGCCTCACTCTGAGCAAGAAGCCTCATTTTGCCTGTAAATATTCACAGGACCATGGCTGCAAGCAGCTTAAAACATCGGGCCCTAAGAGGGGATGGCAAACATTTGATGTAAAGGAGAAAATTTATGAGTTTAATAGCAGAAGTTTTAAAAAAGGATGGGAATTCTTACACAATTCTACTAGAAGACTTATGATAGAAATAATAGGAATGGAAAAAATATTTTGAAATTAAAGAAGTCCAACTGAAAATCAAAGGGCGGGTAGATTAAGCAACACTGAATAAAAAACCTTCAGTCTTGGTCAGTATTTCTCCCTGTAGCAATACCAGTGGGTTACAAGTTTCAGCTTGTGCCACTTGGGATGGAAAAAGAACAAAGAAAATATCAGGATAAATGAAAAACAGCTGGTCCAGTGTCTTTCATTGATTTTTCAGATCTAAACATTAACTTTCATTTCAGTTTCAAACTCCAGCATCTATAGCACCTACTATTTCTCTTCTTAGAAGTTTGTCCATCATTTTTCATAATAATCTTTTTTAAACCACTAGACACTGCTTTGGGTCCACCTCCTTCAACTTCAGTTGAATGTTTATATTCTGTTATCAAATACTGACTGTTTCATTAATACAGCATCACACAAAATCTGTGAGAAATTGGTGAATATTTTAGTACGTATCTTGCAGTCCACTCTCTCCTACTATAGTTTACACTGCCATTAGTATCTAAACAAGTTAGTTTAAGGTGATCTCAGCTATGTCTCCTCATCTAGAAACTGCAGTATAAACTTATGCTTATGCAGCAGCACAGATTACATACAGCAAATAAAATCTTTCTTTTCAGAGGTAGACAAATTTGGAATGCAGATGGAAAATTCTGAATTTCAGACAAACAAATGATTGCCTATCAGAACTCCTTTCTATACTAGTCCTTAGAGTATTGCATACATGTAAAGGGGGGAAATTTGAAAGAGTCAGATAATTGCCACAGGCATCCTTAATTCTAACAACACTTCCCATTTGCAGATAGAAGCACAAATCTGAAAGAGGTAATAATAGCTAAATGGATATTACTATCTGCCGTTACCTGATCTATCTGCACAATTACAGCAGTTTGTGAATGCTGTATTTGCTTATAAGATCTGGCTTAAGAGCCTAAAACAACCCCTTTTTAGGAACAACATATCACCTACATGGTGTTTGGAACTGATGGAACTTTCACTTGGAGAAAAATCACAGAAATAATTGCTTCCAGAGAGATTTCTTTCCCAAACCAAACCCAAGGGGAATACAAGAGTCAACTCCATTTCTGAAAAGCAGACATTAAGAGGCCAGAAAACTCCACCAAAAATTAGATTTTTCCTGTCCTTTAACAATGCCAGAAAAAAAATTTAAGATTTAAAACATCTCAAGACACATCACAGCTGCCAAAAAAGAGTAAACAATCATTGCCTCTTGTCTGAGAAAGTCACAATGATTCAGTCAAATAGAGTCCTATAGTCCTATAAATACTATAATTTTTAAAGTCATAGGAGATCTATCAATTTCCACAAGAGATGATGTGACCATCTCTGTACTGGCATACAGGCCTTTGAATACACCCTTGGAAAAAAACCCACCCTTTATTTTGCCAAAACTAATCACTTCCTTCTCATCAAAAAAGACAAAAACAGACAATCACAGTCAAAGTGGTAAAGCAAAGTGTCCTCCTGGCATAAAAGGAATGTGAAATAAATGAATTTACAATAAGTCCAAGCAGACATATTTTATATCTATTGCTGATAAATAAATATTGTCTAAAAGCTTTTCCAGACACTTTCTTGTACTTGGTCGCATGGCCAGATGTATTGGGTCAACCCACTACACCAGATTTCTACAGATGGAAATTTTTTAAGAAGGAAACCTCAGTCTCAGAAATTGGCTTGAAACAAACAGATACTATTAACTAAAAGGAGAGTCTCATAGCTGTATTCTCATCTCTTCTGCAGATTTCATATTGTGTAAGTAATTTATTTAGATTGTAAAATTACTTTGACATTGAGGATGGCAGAACTATTTCTGGTCACATTCACTTCATTTAATCTTTGACAAAGAGAAAGAAATCAATGAAATATGAACAGTAAGAAGCAATACACCTGCCTAGAAAAAAAACCATCCAGGTTTTATAGATGAACACTCAGGAAAGAGTCAGTGAAATAATATACACTATTAGAAAATGTGCTACTGTGGGAAGTATTTGGTCCTGAAGACAATAAGCATTTTGCTGTTGAGGTATCTTTAAATTACTGTGAGGCTGCTATTTGCAATATACTATATCAATGTTACTAAAAAAGTCAACATGCAAACCAGTATGTTAAAAATATCTAAAGAAGCAGGTGCAATAGGATCATCCATCCATCCATCCATCCATGTGTGGGGGTGTGTCATAAGAAATATAAAAACACTTACTTCTGCTTGCTTAGGAATGCTGAACTTGGCAATCTTTGACTTGGTCCTGGCTGAATCAGGCTTGCTGGAAGGCACTCCCCGATATGACTTGGTCGTCTCTGCTGGTAACTTCAGCTTTGGAGATTCATCAGGAGCCTGGTCTTGACCATCCATTGGCCTCACATAAGCTGTTGGCTTCTGCTGACCCAGACTGGGCTTTGAAGCAAGAGAAGGTGGGAAGTTTTGGACACAGTGCCCCCCACCGTGCTTTGCTGGCCTCTCTTGGACTTGAGTTCCTCCTTCTGAGCTACAACTGAGCTTTGCTGGCTGCTGGCCTCTGTTGATGTTGTCTCCTAATGTGGACCTCAGCGAGCTTTGCTGGGCAGTATTGGAGGAGGAGGAGGAAGAGGAGGTGGAAGAGGAGGTGGAAGAGGAGGTGGAAGAGGAGGAAGAAGAGGAGGAAGAAGAGGAGGAGGTGGGACTCGATGCATAGCGTTTTAGTTTCTCCAAATTGGATTTTTGGTTCGCCAGTTTGAAGTCACCCTTGTGTGACTCCAGCGACCGGTGTCCGTGTTTGCTTGCTCTCTGCTGGCCATCTGAAGCGGCATTATGCCCAGCCTTCTGCCAGCCCATCGTGGTACTTTTGCTCTGCTGGGCAGCTAGGGATGCTGGTGTGGAAGAAGTAGTGCTGGAAATAGGAGGAGGAGGTGGTGGTCTCGAGTCTGCGATAAGATGTTCATCAGTCTTGGGGAGAGATGTCTGAGGAACCCCAGGTTTTGGAACCCCAACGAGATGGCTCTGGTTTGACCGGTCAGTTAACAAGTCTTTCATTTCATCATAGTTGCCCAACGTATTCTGGATGCGATTGGAAAGCTCATCCCCCTTGTTAGTCTGCAAAACAAAAATTGAGTGTTCTGCTACAGTCAACATAAGAAAAACAAGATTCCCTGCATGCTTCTGCTGAAATTCTTACTGAAGTAAGACTGTCTTATTCAGCAGCAGCGTTGAGGGATGAAATCGAAAATCCTTATTGTCTCTGAAGACACTTGTCAACATCTTAAATCTACCCTGAACTGGAAAAGCTATAAAGGGCCTTAGAGTATATAAAAAAAGAAATCTATCACTGATATCACGCTGTAGTTAAAGTATATTACCTGGAAACTGGAAAATTTATTATTGCAACTGCACAGAGTGGTTTGGATTAAATCTGACCATGATAAAACTTTTCCTGTAGCCCAATGCAAGCTCTCCTTCAGTCATGAATGAAAACACTGCATTCCCAATTTCTTCCTCTGCCTGCCTAAGTTTTCATAACCATCTGGGAAGCCACACAACATCCCATGCAAGCACTGAATGAATTTGTCAGTCTAAGCCAGCCAAATGCTCTGAGGTGACTTGAAAACAGCTTGTGGGAAATGGGAAAAGTACAGATTATGTCCCTTCTTTGAAAATGCTCTGACAGGGTGCTCATTCCAGGGCACTCTCCTCTTGAAAGAAAAAAAAAAAAAAAAAAAAAGGTGAACAGAGCCCTCGCCAAATTCTTCACATTTCTCAGTGCTTGCTGTGCATAGCGGGGGGGGGGGGGGGGGGGGGGAATACAGCCACCCTTCCTCCCCTTTAAGATTAATTACTGTCTTAAAAATGATCCATTTACTTCCTCACTGAAAAGGCAGAAGCTTCACAAAGAAATAAAACAAGAAAATAAAACATACTGGAAAACATTGAAAATTCTTCCTTTAAAAAGCCACTGTAAGCGAAAGGGTGTATCATTAGCATTTTTACAGCAGAGATTTTTTGAACCCTGCCAAGATGCAGGCATGTGATGTCCTTTGCTTTACATTTTCAGAAGATGACAGTAATGAGGCAGTGGAGTTCTCCTTTCTCTTTTCCAGACATGGAGTCTGAATGGGAAAACTCCTATTGGTTTCAGAAGGCCAAGCTTTCATCTCAAGACTCTCTGCTTTAGAGGAAAACAGAAAGAAGGAGAAAGAAGAGAGTAAAGGAAGTGGAGAAGATCCTCTAAAAGTTCCATTTAAAAACACGAAAGATGTGGCAACCACATCTGGAAAACTCTGGAAAACGGGGGTATGTAAGGGAAGGTATTCAAGGAAAACTCCCCAGTTTGGAATCTTTTTTTGGGGGGGTTTCCTAGTAGAAAACCTGAACCCAGGCAAAAACGTACAGTAATTGAGTGCTATGATTTCCACATTCAAACTTTTAGAGGTCTACAGTGGAAGCATTCATATGTCTAACAGTAGAAGCAGTCCTGTTTTGCTTCAAATGTTTCCCCTCAAATTTCAAGGACACTACCTTGTACCTGTAAAATGCATTACACCTAGCTTTCTGATGTTTTTGTTACTGTGCTAACAGAGCTAAATATCTGTATCAGTAATATACACCGAAGGGGGTAGGAAGGGAAGAACATGAAAGTCTCACATCTGGAGCATTACACTGAAAACTTGGAGTAAGATGGCTCAAGGCTCAGCCACTACAGGCTGATCTTCCCTCTGCACATGAGGCTGTTACTGTCACAAAGATAATAACCTGGAAAAAAGTCTGAAGCATTGACTCACAGATAGCAAACCACTTGAAAAAAAAGGTGCTCCTTCACTTAACAGGAATCACATCAATGTCCTAAAGAAGAGGAAACTATTAATGAGGCTAATGATATGGGAGGCATCGCATACATCTGAAAAGAAAGAAGGCTCGAGATACACTCATATGTCTCCTGAAGTCAATGAAATAATTTCTACACTTGAGCATCTCCTTGGCCAGCAGAATTGTGTTCCAGAACAAATAGGAAAATTTCCTTTTACCCAGTGCATCTCTTTATGCTTCACTGGATCATCCACCTTGTGTAGACAGCTTGTAGAGAAGTGTTTTTTCAGCTTCCCTCAATGACACAAAATCTGCTGTTGGGCCTGTACTCATTACTATTCATCCAGAGTGTTTCTTTCCCTGCCAGGAGCACGGCAACAATGACCACCAAATGGAATGGGGCCCCTGACACCCACAAGTCTCCCATAGCACAGACATCTTGTGAGGACAGGTCTCCACCTGTCTGCCTCTAGCTCCATGGACATAAACAAATTGGTGCGCAGGTTTGGCCCTTAAGATGTCCAGCTTCCCTAAAAGAAGGTCTGTTTTTTTCTGATGGCTGCTCTGTGGATGAAAGGAAACAAAAGACTAATTACAGATTATATGTAGACCATCAACAGCTCAGAGAAGTCATCAGGCTTTCTTCTACATGGATGTGATGTGAAGGTCACACATCGACATCTTGTATTGAGAGATCCCAGATAGCCACAAGAATAACCGCAGCAAACTGGTATCATGGCATATGCTGACAACTGGTCTGTGCTGTTTATTCCTTCAAGATGCACTGGGGACAGCTTCAGGTGAGATTTTGCATTGAGCTGATCTCATACAGGGGAGTTCACCTACATCCTCTTGGGAACATGATGGGATCTAAGGTAACTTGTTATGAGCTTTAGTTTGTCCTATTATCTTCTCTGAAATATTGCTGGCCTTATTTAAGTATTCCCACAGGGAAAACATGATCACAAAATGTGTAAGGAGAAAAAGCATTCTGTGCAAACATGTCTGACTTATGGTGCTCCGATATTCTTCTGCAATGCAAGACAAATCCAAGCAGTTGAAGATGGTAACATATAGCACTTCTAAAAATAAACCTGATGGCTGCATGGAAGGCCATCAGAATTTTTACTTCACTAAAAATACTTACATAGTTAATGGGGCAAGATATTCTGTCCAGAAAATATCCAGAACTAATTTCCTGCTTTTCCACTCCCCTGTAAAAGAGATTTTATGTAAAAGATACTGGATTTCCTGTAATCCTTCATAGAGGGTTGCTATGGATACTTTGAACAGGATAAGGGGCAACCTGAAGAGTCAGGATTTTTGAGAAAATTCAATGTTACAGTAGGAGTGATACATGTCAAGGTGAGAGAGGACATAAGATTTAAGAGATTTCCGGTTTGCCTTTGATTTTCAGATATGGTCTTCTGAATGGCATATCCTTTGGCTTTAGCTCGTGTTTCTCAAGCTGCACAGAGGAATACTGAATTTAATCAGAGCTTGCAGTGAATATCTGTTATAACTTCATTCCCCTCTGGAAACCCCTAGAAGGTGAACATGATCTTTAAAGGGACTACAAGTGGGTTTCAGTTCTGCTTTTGCAGAAAGGTTTCCTCTTTTGCAGTTAGGCTCTCTCCACAGTAAGATCAAAATGCCCAAGCCACAGCTTTTTACCCCCCACACTGAAGATTCACAAAAGCTTGGCTGAGTTCAGAGAGCCCAATGGTCCATTGCCAGTGTATACATGACATTCAGAGTATGCCACTGATAGAAGTTTTGATGTTCAATACTATCAGAATGACTGATCACCCCAAGCAACTCTGTCACACTAACACAGCCGTGAGTTATACTGCTGTCCTGGGCTTTGCCTTTCCTCATGTTTCCTTGACAAAGTTAGCAGCAGGATGCATTTCTGCAGCACCCTCTTTACATGTTTGTTCAAAATAGGGACACTGTGTTTAAAGGTAAGAAGCAGGAATGGAGCCATTATTCTGGCTGCCTCATAGGATTATCCACTCAGTATCCTTTTCGCTTCTAGAGACAGCAATGATTTTTCAGCCACTCCTATTAAAGCTGATGGAATTATAATGTGGTTGCACAGAGGTGCCTTCTGACATCCTAATTCAGACACTACTGATGTGTCCATGGCACATCACGTCTGTGTCATGACAAGCAGTACACTGGCACAGAAGTAATAATGGAAGTGACAGAACTTCTGTAAGTGATTTGAGCTTCAGTATCACCAACTTGAGGCACCACAGACAAAATAGTACTGGGGACCCAGCAAAAGGCCAAGTTCTTTTTGTGTGTGGCCTATTTGACTGGACCAAATGGAAAATCCTTAAGTCTTCACTGGAGCATAGCCCTTAAGAGATGCCAAGACAGAGCTGACTTAGGCTTTCCAGTCCTTCTTCCATGGATTATCCCTTGACTGCTGTCATGGTATTTTCAAGTATGTCATTGAGGAGTTCAAGACATTTGACATGGTTTCTAAATGTCTTTGTAATGAATCTGAAATCCAGGCAGCTGGAGGTCAGCTGCAAGGCAGACAGAGCTGTGTTCCTTCAAGGAACATGGTTTGAAAATGGTAGATCTTTCTTTTTTATTAGGGACTAAATACAAGCAACAATCTGGAAGAAGGGCAAGCTAAAAGCTGACCCTGGAGCACAAGAATTAAAACACAAGCATGGAAGTCAAAGCAGAAGCCAAGTGCCAGTCCCAAATAGGTTTCCTGGAAAGAGGCACTAAAGCACCCTAAGCACCAAGGGCAAGTGATGCTGCATAGAGGGAAAGGCTTCACAATGTGGTAGCTATTACAGTAACTTGGACATTTCTGGAAAGGAACAGCAGAAAATACATGATGATGGTTTGATACATACAGGCAGTCATTGGTTAAACTGAGGGAGAGGAGCAGCCCTCACGGGACACTGCTCTCTGGTCCTGTTCACCATTTTCAAGCTTCTACAGAGGGTAGAAGGCCCTGCTTGACCTTCTAACAGGGAGTGATGGAAGACAGTTGTGCCTCATCAAACTGCTGTTATCATGAGGAACAACACAGCGAGTTGAGACTCCTAAGCTACTTCTGCCTTTGGTGGAGGAGAAACATGTATAGCAGACAAATTTTCTTATTATGTTGGTAATCCTTATAGGGGAAAAAAAGGTATTTCAGTACATTAACCTTGACCAGGGCACAATGTTCACAGTATTGCTTAACTTTCACACTCTTGTCTTACACAATTGTTTTCTTCTAAGTATTGCAAAAACAGGTTACCATCACCTTCACCTCCTAGTTTTAATTCTATCTCAAATATTGCTGGGATATTTCTAGTTCATTGCACTCTTGTGTGCTGCTGAACACTAGAAGAAGCTTTTTACACATACATAAATATAAATATATATAAAATCCAACCCTCAGTGAATCATGCATGTTCTCCGTGAATTTTGGGAAGCTAGCACTGGTGGGAGGGTGATGAAACCTGGACAGTGCCTTCTGTAGGCTACATTTTTGTACTGTGGAATAAATAAATAAACAAAGATTGACCCAGCTGGGAAGCATCTACCTTGTAGGGTTCACTGAAGAGGGAATAGCTTGTGTTAAATGTGCCATTGTCCTGCTGGGCCTCCTGATTTCTCCTTTCCCATTCTTTCCTTCGCAGCACGTTTCTATCTGGCTCATACACACTGGAGTTAGAGGGAAAAAAAAAAAAGAGAGAAATTGTTTTTTTAGTGTTAAAAATTAGAGGGCAACATATAAACCAGCATGCATTTAAAAGTTAAGAACTCTGTTTTGCAGACAGATGGCAAAAATAAGCACAAACATGAATCAGTTTCAGCCAGTTCAAGTAGGCTGGAGAGGTTCAGGTCTCCGGGAGTGCTGGCGCTTTCTTCACACAGAGAATAGATAATTAAATTCTTACAGAAAAATAAAAAAGAAATCACATGGCAGGATCTAGTCTGCACAGAACTTCTCTGCTTGAAACAAGACAAAGGAAATATCTAAGCAACTTTGACAAAGACTAGAAGTTCTCTTAAGGCAGATGGTAATTACATCTGTGAGTAAATAGAAATTATGAACATGTTCCCACTTATGACATATCCTCTGAGTGTTGTATGAAAATGCTCCTTTTTCACATGGATGTGTTTCTGTAGTGATTCTTCATTAACTAGCTCCCTAAAGAGCTGTTAAAACTATATGCTGTAGTGGTTTCCACAGTTAGGTTGCTTCTTCTGATCTCTGCTAATCAGCCAAGTCGTGAAACTACTACTGAAACAATTCCTCTTTCTGATGGATTTGACACTATCACAACCACAGAACATGAATAAATGAACAGTGGCACAACAGTTTATGTACAGCCAGTAGGGTGTAGCTGGAGAGAGAATAAAATCAAGTGCACTACACAACAGCAGTAATTTTTAGCAATTAACAACTTTAGCTCCAATATAAACATTCAGAATAAAAATTAACTTTTTTTTTTTTTTTCAGAATTCTAGCTTAATACACGACAACATAAACCACAGAATTCTTATTCTGAATTTCTACAGAACACCACCTTTCAGGTTTACACATTTCAGTTGATAATGTTTTATGCTCCTCACAAAGGAAGCCAACATGTCTAACGAAGTTCACATGTTATTTCAGGACAATGTGACAAGTATGCTGATTCCTATTTTGCTTAGCTCAGCTAATGATTTTCTTCTGGCACAGTAAATCTGTAAAGCAGGAATATATATTAATGTCATGTAAGTGCACCATGTGTTAATAAGATAAACACTGTCTTGCTAACCAGCTTCCCAGTTAGCAAAACATATGTTGCATTGGCTACCCACGTGATGGTACCTAGTATGCCTCAGGCTAGGCAGTCAAAAGGCCAACAGCTATCTGATTCTAACTCCAGACCTGAGAGAGCTGAAAATACACAGGATATGTTAGATGCTATTAGTATTTAAAAACAATGCCTCAACAGTCACTAAATGAACAGGGAATCTTCTGTTTGCTTGTTGATGCTGCTAACTGGAACTGGACTGCAGAGGAGCCTTCTGATGGGTCAGAGGGCAGATGCCAGGGGCCGAGCACAGCTCTCAGACACAGGGGATCATTGTGAAACAGCGTTTCAGTACAGCAGGTTGAAGACAGCACCCAAACACCACATTACAATCACAGGTGGTTGAGGGTTTTTGGGTTTTTATCCCACACTATTCATGAGCAATGCATGTTATTCACGCCAACACCTTCTCCTTGAAAAGCAGGTAATGAGGAGGCAATCATAGCAACGGAGTTTTGGGCATGGAAAATGCCTTCCTCCAGAAAGAAGGGGATGGTGAAGGCTTCCCCATGGGTTCCTGGGAGTGAGATCACCTGCTGCACATGCTGCTAAGACCAGAGGCAGAGCACTTGTCATTGACTGCTGTGAGAGCAGAGGTCTTCATTGTGCCATGGAGCCTACTCCTATCAGCTCAGCCAGTTAACAAGCACCTGCATCTAAACCAGACTTTCTGCCACGTTTAATAACTGTTGCTAGGTTGGCTTTTTCTGGAGTTTTAAGAGATCAGGTTATAACTTCATCCTCAGCTACATGTCCCCATCCAGCATCTCTTGACTCTGTGAGATGCTTTGCATTTGTACTCTAGCCTGCAGTCAAATAGAGATGAACAGCTTCCCTGAGATTAATTATAATACTGGTCTCTACCCAATTTCTAGGAAGTAAACAAGTACAACATTCTTCACTAGGCCTCACACTAATTTAAAAATTCACTGGTGTGATACTCCTAAAGTGGGAGAACATTTTTATCCCTTTATTGGACAGATATATTTGATGAAGACATACAAGTCATCAGGTCTCTGAACCCCATTCTCAAATGAGTTCACTGCTGGCAATGCAATGCACAACCTGCAGTAATTCAGAATGATTATGCAAATGTCAGAACCGTGTGACAATGCCTAATTCACCATCTATAAGCAGTAAGTTAGGAAAAGCTACAAGTTGAGAGTTGTGTTCCTTTGGTAATACCAGATGGCAAAATGTCTAGCATTTGCAAAGCTGCTCCTTATTTGCATGAACATTGCAGCAATCACATTTTCTTGAACGTATGTCACCAAATGTATTTATTTGTTTTGGTTCAAGGAGAATACTGCCAACTGCTATAATTGCCTTTATTGCAAACACTTCAGTTAATGGAAAATGATTCTTTTTAATAGATTTCTTCTTTATTTTTTTTTTAATTTGCAATTTAAAACAATCCCAGAGGTACCTTTTAATGGTTTAACGTGTGTCTTGTTTCAATAGCTAAGCCATGAAGAACAAGCTCATGAAAACCTCATGGTTTTTTCCTCATCGGGGCATGTGTACATATGTGAGCAATACATAAATATATATGTGTAGTATGCATGCTCAGTTTTGTAAGACCTGGCACCAAAGAACATGCAAACGTTCACCTCTCAAAACTCAGTGCCATTTATATTTATTTCATACAGGTCAAATTCCAAAAGGTTGAATTTAAACCGTTTTTAAATGGTATACTGCTATTTTTCAAAAAGTTGCATCTGTTTCAAATTCATGCTTAAAGGACATGAACCAGAACATGAGCAACAAGTCAAACACTTACAAAATTATATATGAATAAAGGTTGCATTATAGAAATTAAATTATCTCAAATTTGGCACATTGCTTTTTTTGATTTATCTCAGCCCTAAGATCTGCCAAGACACATACTGGATATACCAACAAATTGTGCTTAAATGACAGTGTCTCAGGCTCAAAGAGCTTTCAGCACACCACCACCACCCTGGTCACAGCACCCCTACCTTCTTTGCTTCTTCCAGGATACGCAGAATAATTTCAGTCCCAGATATTTGCCAGATCAGATTTCCAGTGGATTGCTAAACATCTCAGAGTAGGTATTTTAATGAATTTTGATCTGTTGTGGTACATTTTGGCAGATCACCTGGATGGTCCCCAGCGTTTGGCCATGCCCAAGGTAAGTGTGGCTCTCTGTGAGACCAGCCTGCAGAGGAGAGCCCAGGCATGCTGGTTCCTGTGGGGAGGGTGGTGGTGGCACCAGCCTCCCCACAGAAACACTCACAGCTTTCTTCATACTACTCCTGCCATCAGGAGGAACCATTTCCTTTAGTCCTTAATTAGAAATAGACAGAGATGGCTCAGGGGACAACCTAGGAGCAGAGCAATAATTTTACCTGAAAAACCTGGGGCTGGATTTAATCTCCTACAAAGTCCAAAGAGTTATGTTGTCTCAGGCTAGGCTGAAAGAAATCATATAAAAAGCCTAAAGTTTTAGGTGTCGATAAATCTCCTTTTCTTTCCTTTTCTTTCCTTTTCTTTTTTTTTTTTTTTTTTTTTTTTTTTTTTTTTAAAGCACACTATTCCTGACTTGCTTTGCCTCCCTCAGCTATCACATTTTGGAGCAACTCAAATAAAAAGGTTTCATCTCCATGATGAACAATGTGGCAACAGCGCACCAACATATCCTCCTGTCCTTCAGTTTGGGAAAACCCAAATTTGCATTCAGAGGAAGATGTCCTTTTCCACAAACGAAGCACTGCACCTTCACAGAGGAATTACATGGTGTGCATTAATGATGCTGCTTGACCTTTTCAGAAACCACAAAATTGCTGCATCATGAAGGGGAGATTTTGGAAGGGTTCTGTTATTCTGTTATAAGATCACCATCCTCCTCACAGCTGGCATCTTTGAGGCTGTTAAAGACACAGGGAGATAAACTAAGGGTGAGATTGCTGTTCTTGGCATCAGTTTATATTCTGGAAAAGGAAGGGGGCTGTGACCCAGCCACCTGTACCAGCATGACAGAGGAAGGTGCTACCACATGTATACAGAGACCTGCCCACAGTTTCTGAACTTATCATTTGCAGCACCCTGCAATCTTGTCTTTGCTTTTCCAGACTTTCCAATATAATTTTCCAGTCCAAAGACTTAGTTCATTATTCTCTGAATTGTGAGGGCTTTGCAACACCCACATACACACTAATTTTCCTTCTACCTCCCCACACACATAAATATTGCGATATAAATTAAGCAGGAGTAACTTGGTTGTTTGCAGTTAATGTTTACCCAGGAGGTTGATCTCCTTCACCTTGGCAGCTACCTGTGGCACTTAGCTCAAAACATTCAGAACCTGAAGTCTAGACATATTAATTACAAAAGCAGAGCTGATGCTTCATGCTAACAGGCAGCTATTTCTTAACCTGGCAAACCCACAGTTCCTGTGGGTTCCTGGCAGACCTTTCCTAGGGAAAACGTAGTTCCCAGGGCTGAGCTTCTTTCCCAGATTTTGTCAACCTTCCCATCTGTTCTTAAACTGACCCTTCTTCTTCCATGATGAAATTAAAAAGCTCCACCAAAACGTCATCAGACTACAACACTCACTCCTGGCCTCATGGGAGTGACACTATCCCCAAGCTGCTAGGTGCAGTCCATATCACTACAGGGGCTGATCATGTTCCAAAAAAACAAAAAAAAACCCACCTCAAAAACACAACTCATACTGTAAGTGACTAAAAGATATGTGCATTTCAAGAATAAACCTAGACCCATGAGCAACTTTTCTGCAAGGACATATATATCTTTGAAATTAAATTTTAGCACATGGTCATTTTTGAATTATGAACAAAGTTATAACTGCTTCAAAGCCATGGGAAACAGGCAATATTTCAAGAAAATAAATTTTAAAATGGTTTACTGATTATTCTCAACATTTCCCCACCAATTTTAATCTGGCACAAAAATCAATATACTAAGTTTCAGGCTGAAGTGAGAACATTTTCTTCAATATTTAATAGTCTAATTCTCCCCTGAATTACTACATTTATGCCAAAGTAGCTAAATAGAGTAAGTCAAAGCAAAAACTTAACACCATAAAAAAGCAGTCCAACCCTGACGCAGGACAGTGATTATGTAATTCAATTTAGAATGGAAACTGGATTCTGGATTTTAATGTCTCATCATTCCTGTGTCTCTGCCATATTTTAAAACTCAAAAGCATGAGTCAGACTGAGACCCTGTAAAGGCAACAGCCCCAAACATTTTCAGGAAAGAACCTTAACT